ATCAAGAGCATCATCAAACTTCCCAATCTTTGATAAGCAATCTATTAATACATTGTAAAAAACCGAGTCAGGGGCATGTCCTTTAGATTCCATAGTATTTAAAATACCAAATGCATTACTAACCATTTTGGATTCCATGTATCCCTTAATCAAAGATGTATATGTTACAACATTAAGAGAACAACCAGTCTCAACCATTTTCTCTGATAAATAACCTGCCATATCAAGTCTGCTCAAACGACAAAACCCATCAATTAGTGCACTCCAAACATTCACAGGTAAAGAAATTCCCAATGTAAGAATGAGACCCAACACCTGATACACCTGCACCATCATACCCTTCTCGTAGAAACAATTTAAAACCTTCTCAAATGTCTGAACATTAGGATAAAACCCCTTCCTCAACATAATCCTAATAACATCCTGCACCTTAGCTATATCATTATACTTATATAAATTACACAGTGCAATATTAAAACTCAAGAAATTTGATGCCTGGGTCTCTTTCAAAACCTTAATACCCAGATCAACATGCCCAACCTTGAACAATACATCCATAATAACATTACGTGCAAATGTATTGGGCATAAAACCAAATTTATCCATTTCCTCAAAAGTCTCAAAAACCTGCTCATGCATTCCTCCACGCCAATAAATCCTCAACAAAAGCATGAAAGTCTAAGCCTTTGTTACACACCCAATATTCTGTAATGCAGTAACAAGTCCTCTAATAGTCCTATATTGTTCAATTAAACGAGCAACCACGCTAATCATGTGACCAATTGATTGACTATCATGAAAATAATTATGTTCTTTTGCACACCAAAGGAAAAAACTGAAAGCAATCAAATCAAAAGGACAATTCAACAAAGTCGAATATATCAAGTGAGGTCTAAGAATGATTGGTTTCCTTCTATTGGGAAAATATTCATTTTGGTCATAAATATTTTGTACATGGTGTGTTGTTAATACTCGATGGATTGACTTAAAGGATAGTGCTCTCCAGATTTTCCTTCTTTGTGCCATGTGCAATAAACTCTTCCTATATCTCCATAGCATATTGAGCTTTGCAAATGGAAAGGATAATAGAAATAAAGTAGCAGCAAAATTAGAGAAAAGAAGGCTGATAAAGTGAAACGGGTTTTAATTAGAGATATGCTTCCTCCATCCATAACAGATCCCCCATTCCATAAATTCACAACTGTGATCAAAACAGTGTTTAGAACTTTAATCCCAAGATCAGCAAAACTAGTTCCCATCTAATTGCAAATCTATTTCAAATGAATCATCCATTGCTCCTGAAAATAACGCCAGGCCCACAAGAATTCTAATCAAGAATATATAAAAGGAATCATCCATTGTCAGAAAAATTAAACAACAATAATCTTATTCAGGTAAATCTAATCCAGATTGAAATATCCCAAATCCAATTAGATAGAAGTTAATATTATCTAATATCGACATTGAACTGTAACTTTGAAATTCATCTAAATTTTCTATTTAATAAAGTTAAACAACTTAATGAATTTCAGCAAATTATTAAATATAACCAAAATTTTCTAATAAAAAAAGAAAAGAAAAAATAATTGGAAAAAGTGCATCGTGTTCCTGCAATCCCATCTTCTTCTTTGTTAACCACCAAAACTCCCACCAGTCCTCTCTAGTCTCAACCGCCACAACTGTTCTATCATAATCAAAATAAAATCCCAAACTAATAAACCACCAAAAAAGAGAAGAAACTCACCACAAAAACAAAAACCCAAGAGCAGACATAGCCTAAGTTACGACCACCAACACTACCGATGTAGTTGACACTTCCGATTTCATCAACACTTCTGATGTCGTCGTCGCTTAGACCTCTCCACCATGGTGGTCACCCGTTCCGTGACGTTGAAACAAGCATTTTTGGATTCCAAGCCGTGGATTTATTGTGGGGTCGAAGGTACAATATGTTTCTCAGTAAGCTTATTATAGAATGAGAGAATCAGAAGCCAAGATAAGCCGACAAGTTGTGGCGGAGACTGTCAGTAGGTGATTTGAGATGACAAACGGTGATGAATTGTCAGGGTTGAGTGGGTTGTCTTTGAGAAAATTTAACTCTCCGGCCATCCCAAGTTTCCATTTACAAATTGGCCTTGAAAATGTTTTTCATTTTTTTTTTTAATTAAGAGAAGCTATATGATACAGTTAGGATTCATTAAATATGTAAAATGGGTTAAAATAAAAAGATTAAAAAATATGTGGGCAAAATCATAATTAATGAAAGTTTTTAAAATTTGAAATTTAAAAATGAGCCCTACCCATTCAAATCGCTTAATCGAAACTGATTAGGGCAAAAATTGATTTCTTGAACCCTAAATGGAGACTATGTGATTTCCGATCGAAACTGCAAATTTTCACACCATATTCAATCCTAAAATCGATTTCTTGAACCCTAAACGGAATCTCTGTGATTTTCGGCGATATAGTCTACATTCACAATCGAAACTGCAAATTTTCACACCAAATTCAATCCTAAAATTGTTTTCTTGAACCCTAAACGAAATTTCTATGATTTTCGGCGATACAGTCCACTCACAATCAAAACTTCAAATTTTCACACCAAATTCAATCTTATATCATGGCTGACATTCACAATGAGGAGGAAAACCCAACGCCATTTCGAATACTAGAGTCCGGTGGGGCAAGCAGTTCAATGGTTGCTCTGGTGGATCATCCGATCAGTGAAGGTGGTCCATAGGTAAAGGAGACGACGACGGCACAACAACAGAGAGAAGAATCGCAAAACGGTTCTGAACAGGAGGAGGCCAGTGAGAATTCAGGCAAGGAGGAAGAGCTCGACGAGAATTCAAGCAAGGAGGAGGAGGCCGACGAGAATGCAGGCAATGAGGAGGCCGGCGAAGAAAGGATACGTATTTATTTTGGGAGTATTGCTCTATACTGTCGCTTAAGCGATCATTTGTATTGATTAAGCGATTCATCTCTTTTACACATGGTCGCTTAAGCGATTCTAGATCGCTTAAACGATCTTGTCCGAGGTAGAATCAACATCTACCCAGATCTAAGATCGTTTAAGCAATTCATCTTTACTCTTGGTCACTTAAGCGATTCCAGATCGCTTAAGCGATCTTGTTCGATGCAGAATCATCTGCCCAGATCTAAGATCGCTTAAGCGATCTTTTGTATGGCTTAAGCGATTCATCTTTACTCTTGGTCGCTTAAGTGATTCCAGATTGCTTAAGCGATCTTGTCCAAGGCAGAATCATCTACCCAGATCTAAGATCACTTAAGCAATTCATTCAGTTTACTCTTGGTTGCTTAAGCAATTTCAGATCGCTTAAGAGATCTTGCACGAGGCAGAATCAAGATCTCTTAAGCGATCCGAGATCGCTTAAGCGACCACAGAGGTAATTTTTTTTTGCTGATATTTTTTTTATTAGTTGTTTTGGTTTATTTTTGTTGCTAATATTTTGTTTATATCGATTGTGCAGATTGTACGGACCGTAAACTATAAAGAGTCGGGCTGGACATTGTAAGCGATGATATACTGTACTTCCCTGTAAGGGTGACGATCAGATCGAGTTAGGATGTCTTTGAGAGAATAAAGGGGATTTTAGATGGATTGAGGAATGGTGAAGAACGATTCAAAGAGACTTGTTTTGGTCATTTTTTGAAAATTGGAACAAATTGGAAAAAGGCGTTATGGGGACATGGAGTGCATTATATGTTGCTGCACTCAGTACAATGCAAAAAAAAAGCAAGAAATATGGTTCGTGGTGGATGGAAACCCACTTCGTTTTGAGATGATGGAATATGCCTTGGTGACAGGCTTAGGATGTGGGAAATTGCCAGATGCGAATGAGGCAAAGGCAATAAAGGAGAGTAGGGCAGCCATAAGGTTGGCTAACAAGGTTTTGCAGGGGGAAGCATCTATTACAAGAGGTGATTTAGGGCAGAGGATAGAAAGATTTTGGTTTACCGATTCAGAAAAGTTCAAACTGTGCTTGGTATTGTTCTTACATTCGATCCTAATGGCTTGTGACTCAACAAAAGCCGTTGATATGGATTGGGTGAGGTTTACAAGCAACTTGGACTTCTTTAATTCTTATCCGTGGGGACGGGTATCATTTAAGCAAACCATGGACTCCCTGCAAGGGAAAGACATGGCGTTAAAGCAGTCCCAATGGGTCGGGAAGGATAAACCGAACACGTACAATTTTTTTGGCTTCCCATGGGCAATGCAGGTAAATATTAATAGTTTTTTGTTATATTTTTTGTAATATATGTGTTTGAATTATGATATGGACTGTTTTTTTACAATGTAGGCTTGGATGTATGAGGTTGTCCCTGTGTTCGCTAAGGCGGGGGGGAGGAGGAAGAGTTCGGATGTGCAACAACAATTTCCTAGGATGTTGCGGTGGCATGTCGAGAAGTGTACCCATTGGGATTACGACCAAATAGACATTGAAATTGAAGCGGCTTTTGAATATGTTGTTGCTTTAAAATGTCGCTTCAATCTGATTGATTTTGTTTCTTATTGCAGGCAGTCTTTCATCCCTTTCTCACCGCTATTAGGGGTGAAGCGGAAAATGAGTATGTCACATCTTTCAAACCACTGGAGGATGAAAGGGATGAACAGATAGACCACCTGATGCGGGACCTAGCAGGGGTCATACATGTGACGGCAGTTGTAGGGCCACTACTTGAGAACGTGATTGACACAGAGGATGATGAAGCTCCAATCGATGGGAGGGAGGAGAAGGAGGAGGAGAGGGAGGAAGAGGTTCGTATGCCTCAGCAAACCGGTACAACAAGTACCGCTTTGTCGAGACATCGGCATCGGGAGAATGAGGTGGTTGACCTCATAAATGGCCTATTTTAGAGTCTTACAACAGCCGTTTATGAAAGATTTGACAAGATAGAAGAGCGGATGAAAATGATGGAGAAGAAAGTGGATAAGGTGGCAGAGAAAGTTGGTACAGTGGAGGAGGAAGTTGGTGGAGTATTAAAGGTGGTTGAAGTGCAACCTAGGCTATAAAGAGAGAGCCGAAAGTGCAAGTTTATCAAATCACCATACACAGTAGTAACACATGGAAAGAAAAGGAAAATTAAGAAACAAATGGAGGAAGAAGCAAAAATGAAGGAGGTTAAGGAGGTTGGTGGAGGAAATGGGGTGATAAGAGTGTAATTTATATATTTTTATTCCTTCCATACTATGTTTTTTGTTATGTTTTATGCCTAGTTGAGTTGATTAGAGTTTATTTTGTAAGTTTGGCATATTTGATAGACTTTATGAAATAATTGAGAAAAGATTAGGAAATTCCAGATTTTTTGTTATTTTGACCAGTGCTGTGTTTTTCAGGTTTTTCAGGTTTTTCATGGAGTTAGATTTCTCGATTGCAAAAGTGTTCTTCAGAAAAAGTAAAGTAGATGAATCAAGCCTTCTAGGAAGGTATTATGGTGAGAATCCGAGTTCGTTTGGGCCCTCATTAGTTGTTGCAAAACAGGACCTGGAATCCTATTCGGTGAAGGATTTTCTGGCTGAGTATTGAGTCTTCGAATGGGCCTAACTGGAGCTTCAGATATCGAAAGCAGGTGATTCAAAAGCCCAAATTTATCTACACATCCAGGACTGCAACTTTTGTGAAGTGACCAAGCGCAGAAAAGTTCTTTTAAATTGTGATATACCTGGTGCAAGCTGGATTACGAATTCTGTCTTCCATATCTGATAAGGATTTGACAGTTTTGGAAGTCTATCGTTTAGGAAAGGTCTAAGAAAGTAATTTCTGTTTTTCCTGGGACAGAATTGAGCAAAAACATATTATTTATTTATGAGTTGTTAGGTTAAACAGGGGGAGAAGAGAACGGCAGTTGAGGTTTTTGTTTTGAGTTTTTTTACTTTCTACGTCAATATGTGTGGCTAATCTTTCTTCTTCAGTTTAAGGGGATTTTGAAGCTTGAATTCATGTCATTGGTGTAACTTAACTTCAGTAACATTGTTCTTAATTTCATTCTTATTGGAATTG